GCATCTGTTGGTATCAGGCACCTTCGAACACTCTGCTGACTGTTTTCCATTACTTCTCTGATGCACAATTAAATAATGTTTTGGAGCGTTAACGAATCCCGTCAGAAGAATCCCGCGCATTCGACTTCCATTCGGAATCGTAGGGGCATATTGAATGCGTATATGGCTTATGCAACGAGTTGCGGTGACCAGCCGATGTAGAAGTCACTGCTTTTCTGCACCTCCGCCCCGATCGCATTTTCACACAATCAAAGTAGATCGACATTTTCAATATAAATATAATGACAGCTACGCTTTTGAAAGGATATTTTGCTCTTGAGTGCTTAACTCCGATTGCGCGAATCCCAGAAATGAAACTTAAGGGAGTTTTGGGTGAAGCAGTGTCGTTTATACGGAACATGAAAATGTTTTGCTCTCCTCGAGTAAGATCGTAGATGAGCGGTTGTGGACACGTGGTACACGCATGAGCGTGCGTAGCTCATTGGTGGCATATAAGCCATTAAGAAAGCGAGAGCAAGCGGGGTCCCAGTAGTGTAAGGGATAAGAGCACGGTCCCCGGAAAGGACAAGTACGGATTCAAGTCCCGTCCTAAACTGAAGTTTTGTCCATGAATCGCGAACCCTAAGAGACTTTCGAAACGCGCACTGCGGCGATATAACAGCAGTTAACAAAACATCAAGTCAAAACAAGTTAGACCAACGTTCAGTCACATTGCCTGAATCCTACAAAACACGTAACGCAGAATTGGTTGAATGTGANAGACCAACGTTCAGTCATAGTGCCTGAATCCTACAAAACACGTAACGCAGAATTGGTTGAATGTGATTTTGGCATCTAGCCGTTTTAAAATGGGCTGCCTCAAACAAGGCCTTAAATAAGTTTGTTTCGGTTGACAGCCGTTACTTCCATGTAGCCAGGGAGGAAAAGGGGAGAGACACGGCTTTCAATAACCCACGATCTTCTCCAGTGACGATTTTGAAAGCAACTGGCCGATTACTTTATCAAATCAAGTTTTCATCAACAATGGTGTCATACACTCTAGAAGAGAGAAATCGAGTATCTGACAAACACTGACCTCATTACGAACTTCATCTCCCACGAATTCATTGCTGGGTTTTATTTGAAACTCTCCTGAAAAAAATGTTCTACATAGTTTAAGAGCATGCTCTCCTTCAAGCCATTATTGAAATAGCTTCATTAAGTTGTTCACGGATCTTCCACATGATGTACTTACTCAGTTGTTTCTCTACATCTGGCTTGGTTTCCTGTTCAAAAGGGACTTCCTCTTCTCTGAATTGCAGGATCAATGAGTGAAGCGATGTGCGTAGACTGTCCAACTATTATAGAACTGTCAACTGAACGTGAATTTAATGATATCAAACAGCGAACGTACTACCTGATCTTTCCTCATTCGGTAGTGGGCCGACTTTGGCTCTGCGGATGCAGTGATCTCATCATGTAGGCCTGAAATATCTGCTGCACTTACCACGAGGCTTACAACATGTAAATAACCTAAGTTATATAGAAACTACAGCGCCTGATTGTGGTCTAGTTTGAAAAGGTCTCCATAGAATGGAGGATACACTGATGGACGAAATATACAAGAATCCCTTCTTCCACTGAAGATGTAATCAGCTAATCTAGAAAAATGAAATCGTAGCAGCATGACGTTTTTAGCTCATTCTCGAGTGGACAATACTTCTTTGGTAGTGGAGCACGATGGCAAAAGCACGAACAGAAACAAAAATTCAGTATGGGCACTCGGCTCTTTTAGTGACCCCCTGGCTTGCCCACCACGCTCCCCGTGTCCTTGCCCGAGGCCCCTTTTCCACGTGTCTTATATGTGATGGGGGAAAAGTTGGCGTCTCCGTAAAATCTTCGCAGATCGATTGAAGATTTCATCTGCCACTGGCACTTCGTCAGGTAGTCAATGAGTCGCTTTTTTCTCATTCAATTTTTTTCTAGTAAACCCGAGTGAGAGAAAAAATATTCCAAAATGGTGCAAGTGGCGAAGAAAACGCGAAAATTGGCGTATTCAGAAAAACATAAGGCTTCAAAACTGTAGAAAAATAATTGGTGGGAAAAGGATGTGTGGACAAAAAAATGCATAGAAAGTGTAACTGGACGAACTGTCCAAATGTGTGGTCATGACTCACAGCTGGCTACAGTAAGCTAATCGCATGCAATGTGTTCGTTCCAGTGTCAATGGGGCAACCTCCACAGGCGCTACAACGCCGTCACTTCATTCGCATTTTGGTGTGTACGTCAGCTAAGCCGATTTTGGGCCCTTATTTCGCACTAAGCCGGTTTTCAACAGCGTTCATTGTGCCGTTCCAGGGGGTTACAGGTTAATCTCAGGGAGAAGTTTTAATAGAAACCATTTCTATTAAAATTCTTCCCTGAGAAACTATCAAAAAAAACTATAAAAAGACAAAAACTAAAAAAAACCATAATTACACACTGTGCCGTGCGGTTGAGGTTCAATGAAGCGCACAGGTTGAGAATCCAGTCGACTGGTCAAGGCGATTTCAGCAATCTTGGCTTGGTGTAGCCAGCTCTACGCTATAGCGCACAATCAAGCCCGTCTGAACTCCCCTTATGTGCCATTAACGTGGTCATCATCTCGTACAACAGCATCTTCGATTGTTTTTTTTATTCGTTTTTCATAAAATCTACAATATTCTTCGTCATTTTTGTACTACACTGCACCATAAATTTTATTATTCAATTTAAACTGGGTATATAGAATTATCGTAATATGTGCCTTGAGTTGGACTGACCTTTGCTATGGAACTAATGTTTATAGAAGTCCAGACAGGGTCAAAGCTTTGTTGATTAGGGTTAGTCACTCGCCCGCTTCGAAAAGCCTGGTAGTCACATTAGAACTTCTACAACAACCTCGAACCTTGCAGCACGTCATCAGCAGTCATCAGGTAGTTTACAACTCATACCATACAGTTACTCGACCTTCCCTTAGGATAAGTAACATAATAAGAGCGATTATACCACCTGTAGGGAAACGACTGGTACTTCAGGTTCGTGTTAGAGGCTCAGATCACACGAAACTATATTTATACAGCCGCCCCATGGCCGAGAGCAGCAATGAGCAGAAAGATTTTCGAATGGTCTTCAGTTGCAAAAGTGTAACATTCTACACAACTGAATTACCACGAACTTGATGGGCCAGCTGTCTCACAATCGCCATATGATCGCTCTTATAGTATAACTTCTTCTCGCAGGAAGTAAAAAGGCAGTAGTTTAAAACAGTATCGCCATGAGTATCGATTTCTTCCAGGCAGGACTGACGTGGTGCTACCCTTTTAGCGAATTTTTGCCATTCGGCCCACAGCATTGGATACTTATAGAATCTACCGATGCCTCCGGAAAAGCTCTATGAAAAGAAAGCCTGCAAAAGAACAAGAGTGAATTGAAATCAAATTAAAATTGAAAATTCGAATAAAACTGCACTATTTTGTGACTACACAGGCCCTTAGACCAGGTACAGAGTACGCCAAGAGTCTTCAAACCCCTACATCTTGTCTTTTCAAAAAAAGGCGTTCTAATTACGTTAAGTCAACGTGGTGGAGCAGCGCGAGGAGACAGGGTAGTTGGACGAGTTCTTTCCCCACTGATATCCGATCTAACTCAGTCATTGATTCTTCCTTCAAGTGTTATATAACTGTCGGAAGGCTTTCGTCTTACCAACAGTTGCAAAACACTTATCTTATCAAATGAAATGGTCATATTTTCACATAACTCGCGCTGTCTGTCGTTCGATTTGCGTAGCGCTCCCTATACATAGGCTAGGCTTAATATTCTTTCGAACCATATCAGTGCACCTTTCCCAATTTTTCTTTTCTCCAAGAGTTAAGCATGCAGGTGGATAATATTTTTATGGCTGGTTCGAGAAAAGTGAAACTGCGTGCGAATTTCATTCCCTTAATCATATACAACGCCCCACAGAAATAATGACGTGAAAACAGAGTCAGATCTGGAAATTTCTGAAAGACCGGTTTTTCGCTTTTTTCTGAAAATTTAATATCTCTGATTCTTCGTAGTGATAGTGAGGCAGTAGTTTTCAAACAGTACAGTATCGCTCTTTTCAATGTTCGACTGATGTTTATAATGGACTGTTTCAATGTTTCGATGTAACGTTACCGAAATACTGAAAACTCAGTTACCATGTCATCGAAACCAGAAAGGGTTCTACCGAGTAAAAGGCTTACCGTTGACAGTTTTCACGACTGCATCGAGGTCGTCAGAAAATTGCTTAAACACACGTGACAGCTCATCGTAAAGTAAGCGAAGTCGAGCTGAAAATTTGATATCTCAAATCTGAAAGAACCAAATCTCAGCGAGTGAAGAAGACAAAGTCAATCGAGAGATGCCCTCTACTTTGTCTACCGGTCGAATCGACGAGCGAGCTCGACGTGAAGCCTTTCTTGTTCTCGGCTTCGTTATGATAACCCGATCTGCTCCATCAAAAAACGGATGCAACGGGGGCGTGGGTAAAGTTCGTGGCCTGATGGAAGGCTCATAAATTTAATACGTGCGAACACGGACCTATGCCCTATGCCATCACACAGGTGCACCTATCTTTACAACATGCACTCAGAAACTCATAATATGCATGAAGCCTATCTCAACTTGCGAATCGACTATTCCACATACACATACAGAGGGCAACGACCCAACATTGCGCAACTTCTCTTTTTTCGTATTACTGATACGATACAACTCTTTGTAGAAATATTGGGTATGACTCATATGATACCCTAGTGTTTTACACTTTGCTAAGAAAACATTAAACTGCATTCGACACTGAATTGAATTTCTTCGAGAATAAACAAAAGTTGTTTCGCTCTTGTTTCTGCATTTCCGCCGACGGGAAAAACCTCGATGCGTTATTCACATTCTGATTCAGACATTTTTTTTGCGAAGCTACTGAATATTTCATCAACATGAGAATCAACGGTCGCATCACCAGAGAAAAGAACAAGACATTGAGAAGCCTTCTGCCGTCTGTTCTTGAAAGCATCCAAGACCCACGAATGCTCACTGAGTTCGTTGCGTAGCGCGAGTGGAATAAGATCACCCGATCCAAGGCTGACGGTAGTTAATTACTGTACGTGATGGGTAAAATGCCTCGAATGCTTCGAATGGAAGTCCTACAAGCAGGATGTGGTGCAGTAGGAACAAAGTTGTCGCGTCGCGGCGAGAGAGACATCGCGCGCGAAGAAATGTAGCAGATGCAGCAGCAAGTAAGAAATACAGGAACGAAAGAAGTAAAAGTAAAATCGTGCCAAAAGTAATAGTTGCATGGCGATTGAGCTGTATGAGAACGCTAGAACTCTGATAACGAGGCAAATGGTCCGCGACAGCCGCGTGCGGTGGATCGATTACACAGAACCGTTCCTACTGCCCGTCTTCCCTACAAGCAAGACCCCTTTGCCTTCACTGAGTGATAAATATTCGAAAGTTTTGACTGTCAAGGCAAGTAGAAGAGCACGGGTGACCACACATGATAGATGATACAAGAGTCCTTAAAGGAAAAGTCTTACTACGCTAATACAATAAAACGCAAGCCCCATTGAGTAGTATTATGAAGAGTAACTATAATTTATCATAATACTGCATGAGGGGCTCTTGTTGTTGGAAATCAAAAAGAAATCAGCGAGACATTAAGCGCTTATGCTTGTGGCATTACACATTCATTTGTCACTTGCACATTCCCATAGGCTTTTTGCATCAATCTATCACAGAAGCCAGAAAATATTGAAGAAAATGTGAGCGGAAGAATAATATTCGAAGGCATGACTGTGTGCAGAACGTGATTTCCACAAATTCCTGTATTGAAATGAAAAGTGACAAAATGCACAATTCAATGAGCAAAGGTATTTAACAGAAGCTTCCTTTTTTCTGATGACAACCGCTCAGCCTAAGCTGTGGTCTCTCTTGGAGTTTGCCTGCTTCGCTTCTTGCCTGAGCCGGGAACCTGACCCATCAACTGCCCATGAAATTGATTTGTTGCAAACTAGGGAGCACAAGTTTTGGTTAATCGGTGACAAGCAGAAAGGTCGATCGAGGAGGGAGTTCGGTCAGCTCGACGACCACCCACGCGCGTAACACAATCATACTACAGAGATGAACGGTCAGTCGCAAGTTCGCGAACTATAAACGTCTGAACGACCTTCCAACGAAATTCGGGTAACCGATTTTTCACTGACACTAGAAAAAATCAGCCTCAAATTTGTTTTTTAGCAAATACTCGAGCCGTTCCATACCGTACCGTACCTCTGTCAGGACTGTCAGTCGAGTATTTCAGGAGATTGTGCATCTGACGGATGAGCTCTAAACCGCCGTTCATTTCCCCGACCACTTCTCGTAAACTTGACACTCGACGAAGGAACTGAACACACATTATGCAGTTCTTTGGAACGATGACGTAAGCAGTGTCACTTACCTCGTCTGTTGTCTGCTGCTCCATTTCACTGATCAGCGAGCTCATCACCTGTATTTCCTCATTGCCAACGGGCGCTCGTTTCTTCAATGAGTATTTTCAGAATCCTTCCATGTAGGGTAATAATCGCGACCGGGAACTCACCTTTAGACTGGATAATCGGTCTTTCACCGGCATACTTTAGAGCAAACCCGAACCGCTCACCTTGATGGCCTGAAGAGACAGACATCTGTGAAAGGTAAATGATTTCAAAGAATTTGCACGGTAAGGTTAACAGGTGAACAATGATGTAGGATAAAATAAACACATGTAAATGCCTTGTTATGAAAAGAATTGGAATGGTCGTTCTACTGACAGACGCCTTCCCATTTAGGAGCACCAATGTGGATAAAATTTGACTGTGGAATCTTAGAGGGGAGGGATTTTTATTTGACTGGGCACGTCGCTTCGACGAAACCACTCGAATGCTAATCGCCATTGCACAGGCGATTCGATTTTACAGAACAGCAGCAGCGTCGACTCACGTGAACGCCCCCACTCACCCACTTTATGACTAATTCCTGAGCAAAAAAGCTCCCAGTTCTGTTGCCTTCTTGTCGTGTCACATTTCTTGGAGCGAAAAATTATTCATCTGGTCCCATTTTGATTGAACTTCTTTTTTTCACCAGCCCAATAGACCGAGGTTTATCAGTAGCACATCATTATCAGCAACGGCAGTAGTTGAGTAAAGGGAGTGAAAAGGATGAAGGTGATGTGCGGGAAAGGTCCATCCATTCTTAGTGGAGATCGACGCATGTCACTGTTGGACTTTTGAAGGTGTTTCAGGGTAGATTCGCATTTTCTCACTAGATTGCTGAATACAATCCCGTATTACTCCACTCTAACAAGTCTCATAACACTGGAACAGAGTTTGTTGAAATGTAGCTGACTCAATGGACTCAGGAACAATTTAGTCCACTAGCCGTGTGAATGATTGTAGCACACTTTCGTCAGATATGCCCTTTCTGATCAGACTCTGCCCATGCTGCTAAGACCCCTTGAGCAGCCATATATCAAATGCTGACCAATGCAACAAGTTAGAGCTCAGTTATGTCATGAGTCCGAGGTAGTAAGGAAAAAAATAGAGGCTAGTAGAGCTATAATGAGAATACTCTCTTAAACAAGTATATGTGAACGGAGGTAGGAGCATGTGAACTTCTCGCGAATTCCCAAACAACTTCATACCACTTATATGACTGCTAGAGCAGTGATAAGGCCTTCTTAGTAAAGGGAGCGAAAAAGATGAAAGTAATACGCAGGAAAGGTCCATCAATTCTTGTGGGAGATTGGCAGATCGCAGTTGGACTTTTGAAGGTGTTTCAGTGTAGATTCGCATTTTCTCAATAGATTGCTGAATTCAATCCCGTATTACTCCACTCGAACACGTCTCACAACACTGGAACAGTGTTTCTGAAGATGTGATCGGCTCTATAGGCATCGTGCGAATGAATGTGGCTAAAATTCGCCAGACGTACTTCTCTGACAAGACTCTACCCCTGTCGATGAAATCTTTCAAATTTGACTGCCATATATTAAATGCAAACGGATGCAACAGTATAAAGCTCTGGGCGATCCATCTCAGCAGTTATGCCATGAGTCCGAGCTAGTAAGGAAATTATAGAAGCTAGTAGAACCATATTGCGAATACTCTTTTGAACAAGAAGAGGCGGAAGTAGGTGGGAACCTGAGAATTTTTCGTGAACTCCCATACAACCAGATACCACCTAGATGACTGCTAGAGCAATGATGAGGCTTCCTTAGGACGACCAATGGATCTACTGACTCTTATCTCAAGCACCATTTATTAACTCGCATCGTGTCAGGGATCGAGAAAATTTCTTTCCATTTCTATGACGCGAGGCTGAGTACCCTTTCCATTGTTTTATCGAAGATCAGCATACCATCTGTATTTCATGAATGCAACTCAACAAGTGACCTCTGAACAATATAGGATTGAAAGATTTACACCTGAATCCTCCCTTCTGGTTTCCAGGATGGGTGTATTAGTGTGCTTTTTTTGAAAGACGAACTGAGTTGAGCCTCCAGTAGCCATGTAGAAAAAAGCTCAACAATAATCAACAGTAGTCGCCATTTCGCTCTATGGGCGATAGTATAAGCAGTATACGCGAAATCTCTCTGTGAACGCCATGACGTGTTTATTTGAAGAGGATTTATTACGAGTAACCGTGGCAAAGAGGCTTGAATGGCCATTTCGAAAACGTAGAGGAAAGAAGTGTGAGAGTAGCCAAATAGAAAGCCAGCACGAGTGATAATTATAGGGCTTTTTGAGGGCGACAAGTCAAACCCGATCTGCTCTTTACGTAAATAGAAATCGTACCAGCTGTGACGAGATGTGCAAATAGTGAGTTCATTCAACAAGAGTTCTCTTACAATGCGCACAACCCTCATAGCCAATCAATAGTAGAAACAGTTTATTGTATGAAAGTCTGATAACTATGGTACAGATGAAATGAACACGAAGAAATGTAATTAGGTGATTATTTGTAAGTAGATGCAAAGACATGGGCCGCTTCGAAGAACAACACAATAACGCGGATCCTCTTGTGACTCACGTCCAATGCATTAGCTCAAGAAGATTCAGTATACAAGACGTTATTTCAGTTTTTTAAGTTGATATTGCTAGTTGGAAACAATAAAAAGTATAACATGCACAGATATGAAGACTCCAAAAAAAGGCTATCATTGAAGTTTCACAAGCAATCATTAAATCGACCAGCTGCTTGACGCCACTCCGGTATTGAGAATTCCTTATGGAAGAGCTCTTCCATGTCCTGTATAGAAGAGAGCGAAATTTTTTTATAACAGTAAAAGCAATGAATATTTGGAAAAACTTGCCTTAATGGCGTTATCCCAACTGGGCAGATTATCGCAACTAGGGATGTTGAGGAATTCGTGGAAGACACGTTCGAGGAGTGGACGAACTGGAAGCCGCCTAGAAGGAAAAGAATTTTGAAACAAACAATACACAAAAGGAAACCGAAGAATTCCATGATGAGATGTGGAAACCAATAACCTTTTCATCGTGCACTGCACCTTGAACACTTCACCTTCTTTCCTAACTTCAGCATACTTATTGAATATTAGCACGTACAAAGTTCCAACGAAGCCAAAGTAGTCAGTTTGGTATGTCCACGGGCGACCATCCTGAATATGATCTCCCGTAAACAAAGTGCTATGAGTGGAAATGAACTATCCTGCTAATGGGATGTGAGAACTCCTCTAGGATTGAGGTTATACCACACCTTCCTGCGATCGGATCTTAACTAGGTGACAATACTCCACACTCCCTACATATCATTGAAATATGTTGAAACTTAATAATTGAAGAGATTAATAGTAGTAAAAAGCGAAGCACCTTGAGAAAATAGTTTTGAGTCGGAAAAAATCAATACTGGTGGTGAAGAATGTTATTTGAAATGTGGAACAAAGAGGAATATTAGTCCATTTATAAGAGAACTATCAACCTCAATTTCACTGGACACAAATTAAATCTTTCGGCCAATTATATTTTTGAGACTCCTTATTTCTACAGTAGCTTGACTTTCTCACTTTTGTCATTCTCTTCGATCAATAATATTTGACTTGGAGCTTATCGATATGCGAACAGCATAATGATCGTGGGCTTTCCACACCTAGTTAAGACACCTCGCACCCAGGCGCGATGTGACCTCAATCGCACAGAAGTTCCCACACCTTTGCTAATGTAATATATGACGCTGTGTTAGATCATATTACACTGGAAACTCCTTCCTTCTATCATCACCTTCGAAACCACCACAAAAACACCAATGGTACGTAGAAATGATAAATTACGCGAAAAGTAGTTATTAATTGATGGACGAGATCCATTTACACACAAGAACTATGAAAAAGTAGCGCGTGGTACCGACTTCAACTTGCTGCTCACACTGCTCAATTTTCGAGCTTCTCCAGGTTTCTATTAAGTCCTTCACTAATGTTGCTACATTCAATGACACTATAGAATAAATGCGCGAACTTGGAGTAACAGCTGAGCACTCTCATAATCCATCATTATAACGAGTATATCGTCGTTCGCGCCGTCAAAAAATGGTTTTGTTTCTGGTTTTTTGAGCATCTTTACATGGTGTCATGTTTTTTCCATACTTTGTCCTTTTAATGAAAGGACTTCCAGAAAATAGGGAAAACGAAATACGAAAGCGTCATACGAACAAAAATTTCAATTTTGTTTCGAAAAATCGTTTATATGTATGCTATTGTAAAACAGCTGCTGAGTTTAAAGTTTTCCAGGAAAACCGAGATTCACAGTTTCTCTCAAGGCCTTCTCCCGTAACCCAGAAACAAAAAAGGCCTCAAAACAAAAATGCGAACGTCCACTGGATAAAGGCTTCGTCAAAGATGACTGCTGACAAGTGGCAAATATCATACCAGCATTTCAGAGCAGTCGAATTTGTCAGTGCCCGCCCTTCCACTGAAGGTTTGACCTCGCAGTGCTTCCATGTCGATCGCACGTCCCCAATCAATGAGCTTCAGAATTGGAGTGGACAAAATACGGCTCTTATCGACGCAGCTATCATCCAATCTAAGCGAGAGAATTGTGGAGACATAGTCAGAGAGAGATAGTGTGCGTGAATAGCAAGGAAATAAGAAAAATGTCAAAACTACAGGCTTTCGATCAATCAACAAAAAAAAAGAAGTCGAGCAACTCTACTTGTTGAGGATCATAAAATTGTCAGGCTTCACATCTCCATGAATAATTCTAGTGCCATGGACGTCACGAAGTATTTTAGCCATTTGTATAGCGATCAATAGTATTATATACCAGCTCGGGTCTTTCAACTTGTTCGAAAGATCCTGAAATAATCTTCGATTCCTTTTGGTAATGTATAACAAAAAGTACTGAGAGCTTCTCAGCAGAATTGGGAATAATAGGAAATGTGATGCGTGTAAAAAGAACTGCTTCAAAGTTACGAAGAGATAACGAAGTATGTGGTTTATAAGCATCCGTTCGATCTCCTGCTCCTTGAACATTCGCTGGAGTTCGCTTGGAATAGGTGCGCAAACGATGCCAAAAGTTAAAAAAAAAGACGATAACTCACTAGAAGGGTGCCCAACGGATGGTATTCATTGAAAAGAACCGATGCATTAGTGAAAACATAGGCATCAGTGACCTAAAAACCTGAGAACAATAGTGCACAAGATTATCCATCACTGGATACTCTAGAAAAATAAAGCATCGCATAGTAGATGGTGTAGCGCTAATAGAAATTGCCAACCTGCATTACGCTATCCAAGGTGAACTGTTTGTTATGACCAAGACGTAATTTCACTTCAGAACATATATAAATTTCCCAAGGGCAGGAAGGAACTTCGTACTATAAAACAAGGTCCGATGTATTTGTAAATTTTGTAAAAAAAATATCTTATTCTGAGAAAAAAAAACTTGCCTTCAACGCCAGCATTTTTCCTGTTTCGTCTACTGCTTTGTATACCTTTGCAAATCCTCCCTGACCGATCAACGTCTCAATATAAAATGCCTCTCCACCAAAATTCATGGTTTTTCCAGCAGAAATACGTAAACAGGGTGTCTAGATGTATAAGAATAGTAGTACAAGAACTATCATTACATATTCAGCTCAAAACCCACATCGAAATTGTGCTGATAGCATGGAGTGCGAGAGCGCCTAAGTATTTCCATACGAAGGTTTCTATCCCACGGATTGATTTCACTTGTGACAGCTTCCCTAAAAGATAAAAACTGTAAAGCTGTCATTGTTACATTGATTGCGCCAAAATAAGCAAACTACATACATAACAAGTCCGACACCAGTTCTGTTGTGCGCATCACAGAGACCGTCCCCACTTCCCAAATCGTTTCCTGGANAAGAACTATCATTACATATTCAGCTCAAAACCCACATCGAAATTGTGCTGATAGCATGGAGTGCGAGAACGCCTAAGTATTTCCATACGAAGGTTTCTGTCCCACGGATTGATTTCACTTGTAACAGCTTCCCTAAAAGATAAAAACTGTAAAGCTGTCATTGTTACATTAATTGCGACAAAATATGCAAACTACATACATAACAAGTCCGACACCAGTTCTGTTGTGCGCATCACAGAGACCGTCCCCACTTCCCAAATCGTTTCCTGGAGATTCACCCAGGTTCATTTTATCCAGCGCTAACTCCATTGACCGCTCGGCAGCCTGGACCGTTCTTGGCAGTTGAACCGGCTTCGCTTCCGGTTTCACAGATTTCGAAGGTGCCGTAGACCGACGTCGCTGAAGAAAATTGAAAAGTAACACATCATTGAAGGATTTCTTTTGGAATCTACCATGAAGGCCGATCTAGCGTAGATCTCCTCTTCATCCTCCTCCTTCTTCGCCTGCTCTTTCAATTGCTCGTTAAGAGGAGCAAAGAAATCTGAAATACTATAATGTAAGCATGTTTCTCCGCATATACCTACGCGGAGGAACCTTCATGAGTAGGAGGATGAAACATTTGATGAGCCGGCGTCGACGTTACAATTCCACGATCAGGCTTCTTATCGATTCCCAAAGAAGAAAACTTCGCTCCAGCCATGGTCTCCTCGTCTTCTGCAAATAAGTGAAATTGCGCTTCATGCATTGAAATTGCTCATGAGAAACTAACCAATCAGTAGAGGTCTACGGGGTTTGAGCAGTTCTTCGCAGTAACGCATTTCCTCATGAACATTTTTTTTCTGAAACTTCTAGTGATTAAGTGATAGTATCATCACATTTGTAAAGCCGAACCTTGCTTTCAGTTGCTTTCCCGAAATCTCCATCAGCATCTTGTATCGGGATGTGCTGAAGAGGTGCTCGTTCTGTTTCAGCACGAGCACAAGTGGCAGGATTAGACGGCAAGCTGAAACAGAACCAGAAACTTTTTTTCGATGCCCAATTGCAGCTACAATAACTTGAAATTTGTAAGAACAACATGGGACCGGAATAATTCGGTGAAAAGGTCACTCGAAAGGACTTGGGATGATTACAAGACAAAGTCACTGACGAGAATTGAATTAGTGAATGGAATCAATTAATCAGCATCGAAGATTTGCAAGATACAGAAGCAATCGAATGTTTGAATAAGTACAGAGGATAAAGTCTCGAGCGTTGAACAATCCCGAGTTACCTATGCAATGACTTGCGATGACCCGCCTGTCCGTGGTTGTCTTCCCGAAAGAATCCGGTACCTACTAACCGACCCGGAGGGACGGAGGATTTGGTTAGTCTAATCGAGTATTGAACCGGGATTCCATCCCTGGACCTCGTGTGTTGAGTGCGCACACTTGCCACTACACCAACAAAATGCGATGTTGTACCAGTTTAACGAGACGAGAAAGGAAACTAGGCTGTAACGAGATTTTTCCAAAATTGAACACCGTGCAAATCTCGACCACTTTGAAAGCACCGCATCAATGGTTCGGAAAATTGAAGCCTGTCATTCCATTCTGATCGAATCCTTTAAGTAATTGCGAATCGGTTATTTCCCGACTTACAGGAGAAAGATATTAACCCATAGCGACAACTCAAAATTAGATGATGCAGCGATGGTTTAGATGTGGTTTCGAACGCTTACAACAAATCTTTATTCCTAATATGCAAAAACTTTCGTCCAAAGTCACGGAGGCATAGCACGTCGAAAGCAAACGCCAATATGAAATGATGGCGCAACAGGAATTCGCACCCAATCATAGTTAAACTGCAGCCCTTGCTCACTCTGAAACAGCCTTTTGGAGAAATTTCGCCATACCCTATTCTGACCCTAAGAGCCGAAAGTCCTCCGAAAAGTCCAAGTGAACCAAGTGAAGGGCGCCTGCTTGGAACGATTACTTGTTGACAATCGACAACCGAACCAAGCAAAGACCTGCGCTCCGAAGGTGGCGCAGCCGGTAGGATACACGCAGTATACAGTGTTAAAACACAGGGAGGAAAAGGTTTCGTAATCTTGATCCAAACCGTTTCGCAGTTTTGAAATCGGATTTGAGACCAGCGTGCAATACCATCGGCGGCGGTATACAACTCATCTAGAATGGCCCATGCGATCAAGTATCCTTCCCTTGTGAGATGATCGGTTCCCATCCAAACCACCGAATATGGCCGTAGTTTCTTTGCTCCTGTTACACTCTACGTTCACAGCATGACAACTTCCATAAGCATTTGAGAAGATGCGATAATCTGCCTCAAATATTAGGAACGAAGATGGGAGCAAGGTATAAAAAGATTTCGCCGCAGGCCGTGGTCCACAGTCACTTACTAGACCAGAAGGTAAACGGCATTGTGTAGTCGTCTCGAAGTCCTCTCACCTACATGAGTGACTTATAAAGCCGCAGCAAGTTTGAGCAAAAGAGAAAACCTCTCAATCTGAGAGAACGGAATGAAATACGATGGTGCGAGGAGAGTGAAGTGGAGAGTGAGCGCGCAAAAGTTGAGATCATGAGCCTCTGTAATATGATGATACTTTTGAACATATTATTAGACGGCAGTACAAAGTAGACGATTAATGGCTGTATGCCTCGTGGTACCAAATGTGACGTTCATCAACTTTGGCTGCTCCTGTGAAGACAAAGTAAGCGCGTATATACATCAAGTAATCGACCCCCCCCCCACCTGCGAAGAAGTAGTATCCTCCCCTTATGACCTAAAAAACCAGCCAGACCTATTTTTGAAGAGAACAGACACAAAAGAGAGTGGAGAGAGTTCGTGTGCACTCGTGGACAATAAATCACTAACTGAAGTTACCGCTTATGTTCATTAATTCATTAATACTGAAAAAACGAGAATTAGAATTGACTATGTTCAGATTTTTTTTTCGCACAAATGATATGAGCAAATTTTAAAAGGATAAACTGTTCATCCAAGAGTCACCATTTACGATTTGAACGCAAAAAAAAAAACTATCAGAGGAGAAATAGGTCCACTCCTTGAGAAGAGGGCAAAGCTGCGAGGAAGAGAAGAAAAGCAGCAAGTAAGGCCTACTTCAGTGGTGAGCCTTCCTCTTAATCAAATCTGAACTGTGTACCTGCGGAAGAATTGTGGGAAAGGAGTAGCGTATTGATCAAACTGTTTAATTGCGCTCAACAATTAAAACCGAAATTGACAATAAGCTCTTGAGAACGAGACAACTAGGCCACAAGACAAGACGGAACTCACTTTTCATCTTGAGTCCGAGCGTACGGATGCTGAGACTCATCTTTGTCAATGAAAACCTGAATGCGCCGAATATCTCAATTCATCTGACTTCTCATATAACTGAGCGAGCATTACCTCGAAAGCTTCAATAGCTGGAGCAGTAACAGGCAGAGTGGTCTCATCAGTTATACCGGGTAAGCCCTCAGCTAAACATAGGGTAGAGAAACAGATCACTTTGAAAACCTGAATCATAACAGACCTTTGTTGATGTCTACAGTATCGGAAAGCATTGCCTTCATGTCATTGTAGGCTTTCTCAGTGAATGAAGAGCCGATAACAAAAGTAGATGAGGCAGGGGTTCGAGTAGATGACTTGAGATGCTGCGACGACGCTGAAAAGGGCGCTCTGGGTACTCTCAAAGACTCTGCTGTTGTTGCAAAGGATTCACAAATTGGCAGCTTCTACACTTACACTTTTGCTGTTTCTCTAAAACACTGCCGCGAACCGGCGCAGCGGGTGAAAACATTCGGCGCCGCTTATCCTCGTTTGAAAAGTCTGACTCAACCTCCTCAACGGTCTCGAGAACTCGATTACGTTTACCAAGCTGGAAACAAGCATCATGTAACAGTATAGCAATGTAAAAAAAGGCGAAGGATTTGTACCTCCTTCACGTCAGACGCATGCACGAGTTGATGTGAGGAAGCAGGCGCCTCTTGCTGAAGAAAAGTAGATGCTATTATATTTACAAACAGGGCAAAGGATTTCATTACAATCACAATGAAACTTTTGTTACTCATGGAACTCACGGCGTAACTCATTGTAATATCCATTGGCACCACAAGAAGATCATCGTCCTTTTCCAGTTGTTGATCAGCAATCATCGCCGCCCTCAATTCTTCTATAGATGGTGCGAGATAGCCATCATAGTGGCGGTCCACAAGCTCAATTCTCAGCTTCGTACGAGCTAAAGGACATTGGAATCGAATTCTCAGCCTAGTAGGATTCATTTAACAAGATTAAATGCAACCAACTCTTTGGTCCAAAGTTTGCAACTGCAAGACCGTCGACTGTTTTAAGGTTATCCTTAGCGCGAGCTTCGAAAGCCGCAAGGGATGATCGACGTCGATCTGTAAAAGGGGACTGTAGTGCAAGATAAATCTTGTGAGCAATTCCTACTTCTTTTCGCTTTAGGATCGGCCACTTTCTGAACATTGAACACAGCCATTGTTTCTTCGTCGTCGTTAAAGAGGTTACTGTTAGGGAAATACTGGTCGGCGAAGTCCCTGAAATATATCTTTTATAGCAACTGAACTGAATGAAATGACTAAAAACGAACCTGAATCCCGCTTCCAGCTCAAGTTGAGAGAGACCAGGAAGCCGGCTCTTAGCCAGGCTCAGCACATGCGTGAACTGGTCCAGGTTACCGCTTTGTGCATAAGTTTCTGCCCACAAAAGGTGAAATTTGAGCGAACGGCTAAAACGGCCTTGTTCTTCGACTTTTTCGAAGACCTTCGACGCTCCCATCCTTCTGCTGTGCTTCGCCTGAACCGAAATGTTGAAGCCGGCTGCAATATCAAGGAAGATCGAACATCACCATTATCCGATATAGGCGGAGCATATCTTCCTCAGCGGCTAGGGTACCATCTGCAAGGATCTGCGTCACAGCTTTTTGGGCTTTCTCCTTTACTTTCAGCGGCATGTAACTCTCCCACGCTTCCACCTGCCTAAAACATTCAGGCAAGAACGCTTCAGAAGTTGATTCTAATTAATCGCAACTAATTTTGGTACTATTCTACTATTACACCCCCAGAACCATTCTACTGTTACACCCCCAAAAACTCAAAATTTTAATTTTCGATGAAATTTTGCCTATAGGGGTAATCCGATGCCCTGATAACGAATATGACCTTCATTTTTGGCGTTGGCGCCA